ATGGGTAAACTTTACCCAAGGGTACTAAAATCTTACTATTAAGGCTTCTTTGTTCTTTAATCACGACTTTAAAAAAAAATTCTCTGTCGGTATATGAATGCGTAATTTATAGGTCTTCGTCTTCCTAAACAGACTGTCTTCAACTTTCCCCTGTGCGGGGTTGGTTCTTCTTTTTGAATTATGGTTGTTGCGATCTCCCACTTGGCTTTTGTTGGATCTACTGGTGGCTGCTACGGACTGTTGTTTGTGCATTTTTATTCTATCGGAATCTTCCGTGGGTGATGGCTTCTTTTTCGAGACGACAGTAAGTCATCGTGGTGTCAAATTGTGATTTAACATGCGATCCTTGCTCTTGTTCTGTTAAACTTGATCTTCTCCTTCTTTGACTACTAGAGATTACCTCATATGGGAACATGTCTACTATGGTTCAGCTTCAAGCCTCCATGGTTCTTCCCGGACTTATGGCTTTTATTTCAAGCCTCCAGGACTTACCCGGACCTACGACTCTTATACACTGAAACCCTCGCTTCTTATACTTGCTTGAAGGCATCTTGCCAGTTTTAAGTGGGGCAATCTCTAGGGTTAGAACTTTACTCAAGCGTACATAGTTCAGACAATGAAAATTCCACTGTCTTACCTATGTACTGATATCTATCGACTTATTCTTCTTTTAACATTTCCAACACTAATTCGTTAAGAAATCTCGAGCGGTTTCTCTCTCTCTCTCTCTGTCTCTTTTTCTCTCTATCTCTTCATTTATTATCAATGTGACTCGTCGCACGATCCCCGTTATAACTGTACGTACAACAATCACGCTTGTCCGTAATGTCTGTTATCTAACCTTCAAAAATGTTGATTTATAGCTACAACTTGCTTTTCGTAGCCATGTTTGGCCACTAGAATCTGAATGTCTCTCCTCATGTCTTTCTAAAAACTATTATGTTCTTCTCCCCGGTGTTTACGAGGTGACGAGCAACCGCGCTCTTACGAACGAATTCGTGCTCGTACTCCTCTACCGAGCGGCCCCTTGCTGAAGGGCATATAACTCTCGCTCTATTCTCTCGCGAAAATAGTGCGGTAAAATTTGACTTCCAGAATCTACGTGAGCCCACTCTCATGTCATCTCATAGTGTTCTTCCTTCCCCAAACGCCAGTAGTCGTTCCACCAATCTCGGAAATTGGCCTACAACTACGGCATGTTCCCGCTCTGCGGGTGGGTTCAGAGTTCTGCGTGGTGGCTTTCTAGATAGCCACTAACTATTGAACTAACACCGTATAGCCGATTAAAAAATAGCTATACTATACTCAGCGAATTTTTAACAAATTTCCGAAAACACCTAGCTTGGCTAGAGTTTCGGTTTATACTTAACTCTACTGATTCCGGGCTAGAGTTCTGATATAGTCTAGAGTTGGACTTAGCTAAATTTTTCTAAAATTC